ACGGACTGCGCAAAATGCGTATATGAAGTGTCATGAATGCAAGAAATCTACCCTCGTGGGGGCGCGCTCATGTGATTGGCTTAGACTGGAGGAGACATCTGATTGGCTATAGATGAGAGAAATTACAAGTACGAATCGGGTGAGCGTCAGGGGAGTCTCAAAAAACCCACACACGAATGCACAGCGATCCGTGCACAGAGAGCGGTTTGTGTTTGCAGGTTCAGGGGATTTAAACGGAAAACAAATATGTGAGGATCAAAAATGCATATGTAAAACTTTTTTCTTTATTTGGATTTTATTTACATGTATATGAAACGGAACACATTTGTTTGTGCATTGAAAAACACAAGTGTGGATCCGGAAATACAAGTGTGAATCCTTTTGCGGATCATGAAATACAAGTTTGAATCCTTCTGTGTGCATGTGTGTATTATGAGACTGTTCTGAGCCCATATTATCTCGCTTCATAAGAAATGCATGCACAGTACAACAGTGTGGCAAGCCATTTATGAAGATGTGAAGTGCATCCCAGCCAGCCTACACGAACATCAAAGCATGACCCATCACTGATAAAAGCATCATCTAATTAAGTAGAATTTGTATTCGAGATACATGATGAAAAAAAAACATTTTATCTTTTAGCATATTTAAAAAGAAAAAAAAGAAAAGCTTTCAGGTCATTAACACACATTAAATTAGAGTTTGAGCTCATTCTGCATTAGGAGGCCATGTGATAGCTGCATGACATTTAACGAGAAGATGCAAGATACAGGAAAGGGTAGCATAATGAAATACATTCATCATGCTTTGTGCTTAAGCAGCTAATTATAGTAGTGCAATAATTAAGCCACCATTAGTGTAAACATGGTTAATTAACTGTAGAAGATACATATGTTTAATGATTGAGCAACTTCACGTGGTTTGTAAATGTTTTTTATTAGCAAAATAAGGGAGATGAGTCTACAAAGATTCTCCATCCGTGGAGAACATACACATACATTTGTGGCAGTTTCTTTATGTGAACAAATCCAGGACTATATTTATTACTCTTCTTGGCAAAGTAGTTCTGACCTCAAATCACAGACCAGTTTTTTCTTGACCATCTTGGTTTCCATCACCTGAATGAATCCTCGAGTAGCGCCTCTACTCTCAAATCACCACCGAAGAACGGCGTCTGAACCTTAAAACATTTCAGACCTCATCCTCAACCTTTACAACCATCTTTTCAGTGGTTCAGTTTTTCTCTCCTTAACACCAAAACTCTCCTCATAATACATTAAAATGTACATTAAAATGTGCCTACCCTTGTCTTTGACTTGAGCATATTATCATAAGCTCAATGCCTTGACTCACCATTATCCGAATGGTTGGGAAGAATGGATATTTTGTACAGTTTAAAAACCAGAACCCCGGAATCTGCGGGGCAAATGTAACAATTTACATCTCAGTATTGTACTGCGTGATTGGCCAGCGAGGCCTTTCATTGTCATGGCTGGTGGGGGGATGGGGGTAGGGGACTGTGGAGGCTACATATTGATCACCATGGAGACCTATGTAGCTTTAGACCAGAGGGAAACCTTCCACATCCCGATAGCTCAATGGTGTGCACATAGAAGATAGCAGGGACACTAACATATGAAAACAGTTAACCTCTTTATGTTTAGAACAATTCAGCAGGCAACAGAACAAGCATTGGGACTACGGCCGCGGTAAAAATGCATGCGAAGGCACAAGTACCAACAAACTGGACTCAAAGTTGTGCGCCTTTTCTTCCCTTTTGGTTGTAGGGAAGGAAGAAAAGAAGCATTTCCACCAACAGCAAAGTTTCCTTTTCCAGAGACAGCGGCAGAAGTAACAGCATAAAAGTGATCTCCTCCAAAACTAAATACAAAGTAACTGTTTTTTTTAGTGTGCGGGAAACTTTTGCTGTGACGCTTTTACATAGATACAAACAACCTACACAAATGTCGTAACGCTAGTTCAAAAATGTTCCAAGACAAAAAACATAAATAAAGCTGTTAAAAGTGGCATATAGTACAGCACTGGTCCGTGACTGATCCTCCCGACTCTTCTCATCTTCCCCACCAAAGATGCACAATAAACTGGCTCCACCGCCTGAGGAGAGAAGAGGAGAGAGAAAGAACCATGAAGGACGAGACGGAGGAGGGATGGCCTTGAGCCTTTTCAAAAAGAGAACTTTTGGAGAGGTCGACCTCGCCTCACTATCATTAACAAACATCTAAATGGAGCGGAAAATGTATTTTAGCCGTACATAAAAGGAAGGGACAGATTTCAAAATGTAACTATGCATTTGATTATGATGGATTACGCTACATCATTGTGGTCAACTCCAGCTATGCTCCTCCATAATTCTGAATTTTGAAAGAAGATATCCAGAGCGCATGCTCCCAAAGTTCCCTTAGTGCTGCACTCTACTTATAAAGTGAAGAAACTCATTCATAATGCTGACATGTGATGCAGATATGTGCATACACCCGCTGACGAAGAGTCCCTTACCAAAAAGAAAAAGGTTATCTTCTCCATCCTCAGAAGAGACCACAGTCTTTCAGGTTGTTCTTGATGATGACGTCGGTGACAGCGTCAAAGACAAACTGCACATTCTTGGTGTCCGTGGCGCAGGTGAAGTGGGTGTAAATCTCCTTTGTGTCCTTCCTCTTGTTCAGGTCCTCAAACTGACACTGAATGTAGGCAGCTGCTTCCTCGTACGTGTTGGAGCCTGTAGCGGGAAGTGAAAAGGCAGGAAGTCAATGCATAGGACAAGGTATAGAAGTTGTATATATTGTTAATTGTTAAGACTGACTGACATGGCTGGACTTCATCCTGCTAACTGGGAATAACGGCTATTATTTTTCATTATATCATTTCATATTAAAGTTGAATGCTCATTCTTTAACATGTTGCTTTTTTTTTAAATTACAAAAACAAATGTTAACATTTTGCAGTCTGTTAGTGTGCAAAAGTCATAAGACTTCAGGGAGTCACTGCTCCTAGCTAATAATAGCCCATAAATACCCTCAAAAACCAAAACTACACTTAGATTTTTTTAAGGATTAAAGGAAAGGTCAGAATATGTGATTATCATTGTGATCATTATTGAGTTTTAGAGGTGCTGGGGGGCAGGATTTATTCACTTTGGCCAGAGCCAGGCTGGTTAAATTAAGTTAAATTAAGCTAATCTGCTGCTGGGTGTTGCCCTATGCGAGAATGGTAGCGATTTAAATATCCTAATTGTTTTATTAATTCACTCGTAGTAGATAAAAGAATGACATTTCAATGTTAATCTCCTAATTTCTGACATCTTCCTCTCTAAGCTTCCTGTCAGGCACATTCACATCACTTGTATCATCTCATCTGACACTGAAACACACCCATCTCTGGTCTGGGAGTGTTCATTTAAACTAACAATCTTTGTTTTCTATGTGGAACAAATCTGCTCAAATCGACAGTGTTTTAATCAAGATTCAAAATCAACTCCATAAGCACATTTGTCATTGCCAGGTTCTAATGGCATTTTTGTGTTAAAAAAAGATTAAAAAATAAATAAATAAAGAATGGGCCATTTCAAAACAATTATTTGTCAAATGCAGCCAGCCTTACCAGCATATTCTGGGTAGCAGATGGTTAGAGGACTCTTCTTGATCTTCTCCTCGAACAGGTCCTTCTTGTTGAGGAAGAGGATGATGGAGGTGTCTGTGAACCACTTGTTGTTGCAGATGCTGTCGAACAGCTTCATACTCTCATGCATTCGGTTCTAAGGAGGAACAGAAAAAAA